CATGCCAAATAAGAACACTTCAGGGTAAAGTAGGAGTTAAAAATTTTCTTTTCCAAGCTCCAGGAAGAATTAGTAACAAAATTCATGAATATAGTCAGATAACAATTAATACTTTAATTAACAAGACAGCATATAGAAAAATGTAATCCTTTTCCTAAGGAGGATCTTCCTAAAAGATCCATGAAGTCGTCCTTTAATAAAGTTACCACTGCTAGTCTGTTCAGCGACATGGAAATCCTTTCATATCTAGATACCCAGTACTCTGAAACTATCCTCAGGATAACACTGATAGGGTATTTCCTAAAGGCCTGCCCTGTTCTAGTGAGATTGTTTTAAAAAAATATTAAAAACAAGAATGAATCCTAAACATTCACAGTATAATGGGGGCCATATACAAATGATTCTATAATAAGAAATTGGTCATGAATTACGGTATTTTTTTAAGCATCAAAGCTGTATGTAGAAATGAGGGTAAGTTTGGGTCAAAGACTTAGATCACATAAAGCAAGCTTTTGAAGGATATGTAGTTGTTTGAATAAATATGGAGGGGGGGCACAAGCTCACATAGAGGAAACAACGTGAGCAAAAATGACTGGTGATGAAGCACTAGCCCACTCACAAGATGAGAAAGATAAAATCGCTAAGCTCAAGGGTGAATGAGCTGCCTAAAGTCACAGGAATATTACCTAACAAAGTATAAAGCAGAACCCAGGCTTTCTGCTTTCAACTGGCTTTGTACACCAGGAAATGCTGGCGCTTGTTGGACAGAGCATCAGATAAAGCTTTATCTCCTACTTCACTCCTTCCTAAGAGATGGCCCATGGCTGACCCAGCTTTTTTTTGGGGGGGGGGGAGGGGGCGGAGAAGAGGGGATGAGAGTATCATCAGCAATCCTGTGAGACAGATACTTTTATTATTCACAATTTGCATATGAGACTATAGAGGAACAGAAAGGTGTGAACAAAAACTGGGAATTAAGTATACATTCAGTCCCAGCTGACTAATTACACCAGGCCCTAAGCTTAAGCACTTAACCTGCCCCCTTTGTCAAACAGCCCTAAGTCATTCTTGGTCTGAAAATATAAAAATGCTAGTAAATTTCTGAGCTCCACCACTGTCTCCCAGAGCTCACTGCACAACATAGCAAATACTTCACACAAGTGTTCACAGCTGGTACCTTTATAAGCCTGGTGCTTCCTGAGTGAAAAAGCCTGTGCATAAGGGAGTTGGAGCCTTTCAAAACTTTTACAATTGATTTAATTAGACAAAAGCAAACTGAACAAAATGTGGCAACAAAAAAAAAAAAAAAAAAAGGAGGCCACATCAAGCTTGAAGATATATATAAAGGAGAAAAATATAAAGCCTTTCTTTCACCTGAATATAGGGTGTAGTGGGGGCATATACAAACTAGTTTTAGGTGTGCTACTTACATTAATGTGGTTCAGACCAAATAAAAATACTCAGAACTTTGTTTACTAAAGGCTCAGAGACAATTCTAAGATGCCCAAGAACTTTACTTCTTGAATATAGTTAAGGAAGCTGGCCATTCAAAAAGTCAGGATTTTTAGGACACCTAAAACAATTCAAGGAACTGGATATCAGTCTATAACCCAAAATACTGTCCTTAAACGGACTGTGTGAAAGCAGCTATAAAATTGTGTGTGTGTGCGTGTGTGTGTGTGAAGGGCTGTAAGGAAAATGGTCAACTAAGCTATATTCCTAGCTCTATCATTTGGCTTTGAATCTTTTGCTTTTATTAGTACATACCATAGAGCACTTCCACAAATAGGCCTATGGACATCACACAGCCAGTGCACGTACTCATTAGTGCGGCTGTGGACACGTGCATGCCCGTACCCCGTATGTGGGGGCCTAAGACAATCAACTATCCGGTATCTTGACGACTCTCTCTCCACCTTTATTGTTTGAGACAAGGTTTCTCAATGAGCCAGAGGCTCCACTCAGCCAGGCTGGCCCAGTCAAGGAGTTTCAGGGATCTGCCCATCAACACACTGTAAGTAGGGTTAAAGGAATGTGCTGTAACCCTCCTCCCCCACCCTTGCCTCTTCACATGCATTCTGGTGATCTGAAGGCAGGTCCTCAGGCTTGGAAGCAGGCACTTCACTGACTGAGCCACAGTCCCACCCTACAGTTTTCTGATCTATCAACTTGATACTATATATCTTGTGAAATCTATGGGACAAAAAACAAATTAGCAATGAAACAACAGAAAGAGGGTGTGGACCATTATCTAACTCTAGAATTTCAACAATATACAACATATATAGCAATCCATCCTCACTTTTTTACAAAGAGACAGGGTTTCTCTATGTAGCCTGGGCTGTCCTGGACTCCCTATGTAGACCAGGCTGGCCTCGAACCTGTGCCTCCCAGAGTGCTGGGATTACCGGCATGAGCCAGACCAGTTCATCCTCACTTTTTGCTGGGATGATTTGGAGTTGTAGTGTATTGCCCAATTCAGGAATGTTTCCTCTCAGGTGGATTGTTCAGCTGTCCAGACCTCTAACTCTGCCCCCAAAGTGCAGTTTTGAATCTGACAGCACATCTCCAGGCCAATAGGCAACTATCAGGTCTCCCTGGAGTTTCTCAGGGTTGTGAAAAGGAATAGCAACTAAGTACATCAGCATCCCGAAAGTGCTTCTTCACTGTCAGTCCACCATCATCCCACTTCTGCGACTTCAGCACCTGCCAAGGTTTCTGCCCCTTTTCAGCCCTCACCTGACAAAACCCAATGTCAGTTTCAGGAAACAGAGAACAGCATTTCCTTGCAAGGTCCCCATGCTCAACCAACCCTAGATTATACCAGCTAAAAGGAGGACAGAGAAATGGGAGGGACATTTTGGACTTAAGTATGTTTCTTTGTAAAACAATCACACCATACCTGAGCTATAAGCTGAACAATTAAAAAAAAAAAATAGAGAAACTGCCTTGGGTGAAAGCAAGTACAATGCTTTAAGCCCTGGTTAACCTAAAAAATATAATTCCCAGGAACTTAATGGTCAATTTCTGGGTAGTGGAACTGCCTAAACCACAGAAACAAAGCAGTGTCATTGACTTTTGGTTGGATTTTTTTTTTTTTTTTAAATTTGCAATCCCAGATTTCACTTGGAGTGGTATTTTTACCTACTGTTCATAGAAGCTTTGCTATGGATCAGGTCAAAGCAGAAGGTAAACTACATCCTTCTAGAAACAGTCCAACCTAAATGTCAACTCCAACAGTGCATATGCTGTCCCACAATGCAACCTGCTTTTATCCATCAGTGAAGCTTCAACAGACGGTGTCTAGCATTAGTGCACAGAAGAATATAAAGTAGCAATAATCTGAAAAACCAGATCAACGGAAGACAGAAAATCTGGCTCATTTGGCTTTTCCCAAACAGTACATATACGCAAATATTAAGTTTAAGAAATCTAAGCCGTGAAAAGTTTACACCCTAAGAAAGCAACGTAAAATACGGGAACTCAGATTCACAAAACATCCACTGCTCTGGTGTAGTTTTCCAAGGGTTTTTGTTTGTTTTGTTTTTCGAGGCAGGGTTTCTCTGTGTAGCCTTGGCCATCCTTGGCCTTTGTAGACAAGGCTGGCCTGGAACTCACCGTGATCCGCCTGCCTCTGCTTCCCTGAGTGCCCAGATTACAGGCGTGCCGCACCGGGCTCCAAGTATTATGTCTACAATGTCTTAAGAGTCCCAGGATCATATCAGGGAATAAAAAGTAACATTTAGTATGTTTGCTCCTGGGATTTTAATAAAATTCCAAATTCCTAAAGGGGGAGTAACCTCAAAAACCCAAGGGGGAGAATCTAAAATAAGTTAATAGCATCAGTATTTAAGCAAAATGTATATTCTGCTGAAGAAAGAGCGGTATTAGCCATTCTAACACAATTTTCAACCTACAAAATACAAAACATCTCTCACAGCCAAGGAGACATCATGGAGTGTGATTTCAATCTGAGGATAAAGAATCTGAATTTTGGGGGAAAAAAATGCTTTCCAACAGGAGCTTTGAATAAGCTTTATTCATTTATTTCTTAAACAGTAAAAAGGGGTCGTCTAGGGGCTGGAGAGATGGCTCAGTGGTAAAAAAGGGGTCGTCTAAATACACTGGGGGTTTCAGTCTAATATCAAAGGGTCATTTCAAAAGACTTAAGGATCGCAATGACAGTCCAACCGGCCAGTCTCGGAGTAAGATTCTTACACGCATCGGCGCGGCTCTCACGAAAGTGACAAATGCACGGAAGAGACTGAAGCGGGGCTAAGCGCGGACTGGATGACTGGGTTCGGAGACCTGCTCACAGGAAGCCACTACATCCTGCCCGAAGTCCCTGTCAGTCACGCCGCCTCTCGATTCAAGTCCCCGCCGTCGCCGCAGAGAGGTGGGGCGGGCGCAGGTGTCCCGCCCGAGCCTCCCGGGCGCCCCGCCGGCGCCGCGCCCACCCGAGGCCGGGCCGCCCGCTTCCGCAGCCCCCGGCGCCCCCCTCCACGCCGCCCCCCGGCTCGGGAGCCCCAGGAGCCCGCAGCCCCTCCTCGGCCCGCCGCCCGGCCCCGCCCCGGCCCGGCCCGGCCTCCCTCCTCCAGCCGCGCCTCCCTGGTAATTACCACGGGGCTCCCACCTCGGGCGGCTCCCCGTCGAGACCGCGGCCGCCCGCAGGCCTGCGTCGGAGGGAGGCCGGAAACTCCGCGCGCCCCGGGCCGCGCCCCGGGCTCCCGCGTCCAGGCCGCGCTCCAGGCGGCGCCCCTCACGCCCGGGCCGCCCGCGCCTGCACGTCCCCGCCCCGCTCGCTCCGAGGGGAGCCCCGGGCCGGCCGCCCCGCCGCTGGACGCGGAGCCTTTCCTCAGCACAGCCCCCCCGCCCCCCGGGCGGCCTCACCGGTCCCGGGCGGACGCCGGCGCCGCCACCTCCGCGCGCGCAGGCTCGCCCGCCGCCCACCCAAAGCCGCGGCGCCCCCCGCGATCCCCTCAGCCCCCGGCCCCGCTTACAGATCCTGCCGCGCAGGCTCTGCAGCACTCGGACCTCACGACTGTCCTCGTCTCCCGTCTCGGCTTCCGCCGTGCCCGTGACGGCCGGCGCGTCGGGAGAAGCCGCCGCCGCCGCCGCCGCAGCAGCAGGCGCTGCCGCCGCCATGGTGCCGCCCGGCCCCTCCACCGCAGCCCGGCCGCCTGCGTAGCCGGGGCGAGGCGGGGCCCGGCGAGGCCTAGGCCGGATCGGGCCTCGCTCTGGCCACGCCCCGGCCTCGGGTTGGCTCGCCCCGCCCCTCGCGCCGTGCCCGCCCGCCTCGCCTCGCCTCGCCTCGCCTACCCCTGCTTCCCTGCGACCCGGCCCGGGGCGAGTCGTGGGGACCTGCCTTGAAAGCCCCTGCTGTGATCCCCAGAAGCCTGGGAATCGGGCGGCCCCCACGAGCGGACCTCCTCCAGGTCCCCCGCAAAGTTCAAGGGATCCAGGAGTCCTCAAGTCAGGTCCAGAGAAAAAGTTTGGCGTTTTGGCCAACATTAAAACTAAGAGATGTTTGAGAGCCTCTTCCAACAGGGTCTGGATGCTCCCGCAAGCGGAGACAAACCACTCAAGCAACCTTTGCTCTAAGGGCATCGCTCTGCAGATGTTGCTTCAAGACAAAGCCCACCAACCCTTCCCAGTCTGAGACCCACAGAAATTCTGAGATGATCAACCACGTGTGTAGTTCAGAATCTGAAAGGTGACCCGTTTCCTACTCCCCAAAGCAGGCCTTTTAGAAAGTAGGTTGGCCCTGGGAAGGTTGTAAATCTTCAACTAGTTGTTGCCACTATCTTAAGCGAACTATTTACAGTGAGTAAACTGCGTGAATAACACCCTGGTATGTGATGAAAGGGATGATTTCCTGGTCCCGAGGTCGTCAACTGCGCTGCCCTAAGAAGGAAGAAACTGATTTAACAGAGCAGGGCTGTTCTTTGCCAGCGTATCTACCCTAGCCAGTCAATCAGGTGCTGATTTTTTTAAGGGTCAGACACATAGGGATGGCCTTAGGGCAAAAGACAGAGGGCCCCAGCCCCTGAGCACCTCAATCTGGAAGGGTACTCAGAAAGAGGCAGAGGAACAAGGATAGGAGAAGCAAGGTGCGGAAAGTGGGATAAGGAGAGCCTTTCTGGAAATGAGCACTTCCTGGGAAGGGGGAGCAGAAGACAAGGGGGAGCAGGAGTATTTCGAAGGGCAGAAGCCACTTGGGCAAAAGCTGGTCAGTCAGAGTGACCTAAGCCTGCTACGAGTTTTAGACTGGAGAGCAAGGCTTCTAATCCAGCTTGTGATATGTGCTGTCCCTTTTCCTATACGGCGGAGCCTTAGGGAAAGTGAGCATACCTCCTTTTACAGGCGTTTTGTTTTGGTTTCAAGCAGTAAGTCCAAATTTTATTTCCCTTCCTTTCCAAATCAGAGTTTCAAGCCCACGTGCTAGAGACCGGCTTCTTCTATTTTAAAGCTTTACATGCTTTGATAATACATATCGATTATGCATAATAATGTGCTGACATTTTCATACACGTGTATATAACGCATGTATCATATTCACCCTGCCGTCACCCTTTTTTTGTGTGTCACCCTCCAACTTCCTTCAAACCCCTTCCTCTCTTCCGCTCTGATCCACGGGAAGGTCAGTAGACAACTGTTAGAAGTCGGTTCTCCTTCCACCATGTGGGTCCGAGGGTCATTTGGTTTGGTGTCAAGAGCCTTTGCTCACGGAGTCATCACACCAACACGGCTTGCTTTTTTTTTTTTTTTTTTTTAATCCAAATGAATTTACGGGAGCTGTTTCCAGGAACAGAGGTGAGAGGTTCATAACAGGAGCACGAGAAACTTACCAGTGGCTACACTACTGAAGGAAATGTCTGTTTCTCCTCCGGCAACCATTAACTGCCTAGAAATCCTTGTCAATCCCTCCCGACCCTGCAAGAGGATGCCGACAGCCCAGTCTTGCGGAGATCCTGCACACAACCATAGCTGCTAAAGGCTGGAGAGATGGCCGAGTGGTTAAGACTACTTGCAGCTCTTCCAGAAGCGTTCTCGGCACCTACATGGTGGCTCACAATAATCTGTAACGCTAGTTCCAAGGGCTGTAACTCCTTCTGACCTCCAGGGGCACCAGGCACCCGAGTTACATGCAGACATGCATCAAACATTCATATATGTAAAAAAAAAAAAAAAAAAAAAAAAAAAACAATAGAAATATCTTTTTAAAAAAGAATGTAATGGCCATGTCATGTCATACTCAGAAAATTCCACAACATTCCACTACATCCTCTGACTCTTACATTCTTTCCGCCATCTCTTCCTCAATGTTTTCTGAGCCTCAGAAGGGGGTGCTATAGAGGTCTTATTTAAGGCTGAACACTCCGCAGTTACTTATTCTCAGTACCTTGCTCAGTTACAAGTCATTGCATTTACCTTTACCATTGCCCATTACAGGTCAAAACAAAACAAAACATTCTCCAAGCAAACCTGACGTCCTCACTAATCCATGGATACAAATACAATTATTGGAAGGCGATTTAATACAGACATCACATCCATTTAGCAAAATGGCCTGCCAGGGCTGGTGGCCTCCCCAGCCAGGAGCTTTTCAACAGGTTTATAGTACCAGATGTGAATTCCCTCTTTAAGGAGCAGGCCTCAGTTCCAGCCAGGAAGTGGTTGGTAACCCCAGAGCAGACTTCCCGTTAGCTCGTCAGTAGGTAGGTGCACTTTACCTGGCAGGTCAGTGATGTCCTGTAGGGACCTCATCACGAAGACTACTGATGACCATTCACCAGCGGCCTACACAGCACCGTCTAACACCATGAGGGCTTGCTAGCTGGGAGGAAGCTTCCAGCTCTGTCCCACCCTGGTTTCTCTATGTCCTGTGGTCTCTTCAGCCTCACAAGCCTAGTTCTGGCGGCCAACCAACCGCAGTGGCCTCTGCCTATATTGTTTGGAAGCCCGGTGGGCCTCCCTGACCAACAACTCATAGGAAGATGGTCCACCCCCAGCACAGGGCTTGCATTTACTGACCTATGGCTTTTCATCTCCATCAGATTATTTTTATTTAATTCATTTTTTATTTTTAATTATCACGTTAAGTATCTGGTTTGCTTGTGGTTTGTTTTCATACATCCTTAGTTTTGGTTGGCCCTTCCCTCCTCCCCTCTCCCCTACCTGGAGACTAATTTTCTTGTATCTCTTCTTCATAGTGTCTCCAGTTACCACATCCCACAGACTGCTGAAACCTGTTTTCTTTCTCTCCTCCTTTCCATTCTACCATTTCATGTCTTTAAAAACAAAAACATAACTCCATCCGAAGAGTGTCCATATATAACAATTTTTAAAAAATATGCCTTTTTAGACTCGTATGTGGAACCTGATCCTATCATCTTTTACATGTGTACTATTTGAGAATGATATTCAAGTTTTCTAATAGTGCTCCTTTAATTTTTTTCTCGGGGTTGGAGAGATGGCTCAGTGGTTAAACTGACTGCCCTTCCAGAGGTCCCAGCACCCACATGGCAGCTCATAACCATCTATAATAGGATATGATGCTCTCTTCTGGTATGCAGACAAAGTACCCACATACATAAAATACATACATACACACATAAATAAATAAATAAATCTTTTAAAATGTTTTCTTAAAATTTATTCTCTAATAATTTCATACATACACACAGTCTGCCTGCCTGTATGCCCGTGTGTCAGTCCGTGTGTGTGTGTGTGTGTGTGTGTGTGTGTGTGTGTGTATTAGAGTTTAATTAGGACTGTGGGTCAGGGCTTATTTATTGGAAGAACTTAATAGTGGCTGCACCACTGAAGAAAAGCATTCTCCTTCCCCTAGCAGCCATGCTTCAATTGCCTATAGCTCCTCAGAAAGGGGCAGGTTCTCATGAGCTCCTCCCCCACCCGTGCTGGAATGTTGACCCGTTTAATCTTGGGTAGGTAACCACAGCTGCTGTGAGTTCATGAGCACAAAGGCCATGTCAAGTCCAGAAGGCAGCCCTTCACAGCTCTCCTTCCCATCCCCCAGGCTCTTATGTTCTTCCTGCTCCATCTTCCTTGAAGTCCTCTGAACCTCAGAGGTGGTTGGTGAAGATGTCTCCTCTAGGGCTGAGCCAGCACTTCTCAGTCCCAGGTTCTCAGCTCTTTGGCCAACTGTGAATCTCTACAGCGGCCTCTGGCCACTGCGAAATGAGGCTTCCGACCAAAGGCTAAGAGCAGCATTCACCTATGGTTTTAGACATCTGTGTGTCTTTCTGATGCAGAATGGAAATGCTTCACTGATTCTTCCTCCTGGGAAGAATTGTCATTGATGTTAACTAGTTGTTGAGAACATGTCTGTGACACATCTAGTCGATAAATTAGCTCCGTAAATGCCACTTCATGCCCTTGACAGGAACTCTTGTAAACAGGTCTCATTCCCGTTCCACACCAATTAGTCTTAATCTAAAGCAAAAATGTAAGCTTGTTATTTGTGTAGAAAACAAAACAACAAGAACAAGAACAAAACCCCTAGCAATGGCTTCCTTCACTTCATCTGTCACCAAGCAAGTGTAGAGTTCAGGTCATGAAGAAATGTTAAAGAGGACTAATGAATAACGTTCAGATTCCTTAGCCAGGTGTTCAGGCTTGAGACCGGACCCAGCCCACCTCGCACTCCTCTTACCTCAGTCACTTTGAGCAACTTTCCCCAGCGACCTGATGTTAAAGTGGCTTCCTAACCCAGGCATAGGGACACATGCTTTAAACCCAGCACATAGGAGGTGGTTGCAGGCCAAGGTCTGTGAGGCCAGCCTGGTGTGCGTATCACCTTTTATTCCAGCCTGGGCTACCCTGTCTCAAAGGAAAGAAAGAAAGAAAGAAAGAAAGAAAGAAAGAAAGAAAGAAAGAAAGAAAGAAAGAAAGAAAGAAAGAAAG